CCCCAAAACCCCAAAACCCCATTAGAAATTTAAGTTATATTGGAAGAATTAAGGATCATAAATTATTGATAAATATTGTATTTTATTATTATTAAAATAATGACTCTCATTTAAATGTAATTTTGCGATAATTCATTGAATATCTCGGAACCATCTGAAGTCACCAATCTCAAATGCATGGTTTTCGTGACTTTCGTTTCAACTTACTCAATAGTTGCTATTATCATACTTGTACTCTACATTATACACAGAGTTGAGATAATTAGAGAAAAAAACCGAAGAATTAGAGAGGACTAATAGTGTGATGAACTTAAGACATCCCCATAATCAAAGTTATCTAAGTACGGAAAAGCAACTGTCTAAAATAGAGACAGAGAAGAAAGTGAGTATTAATTGCCTTGGAAATCAATAAACTAAAATTAAACTCTAGGTCAGACTACAGAATCAAACTATAATCCCTTGAGCAATGGCGGAAATATATATAGAAATTATAAGACAAGTAGCATGAGAAGTTAAAATGAGGACTAATCTCTCTTAAGTAAGTAGTATATCATTTTTCATATTTTATTTTGTGTTCTGATTAATAATATTAGGTAGAGTTGGTGGTAGGTCTATTGATGATTTGCAAGGAACTTTTCACTCTAGAAATAGGAGCATGAGTAGATAGCAAATACTTTTGAGGCCTGATAAAAGATTAAGTTTTGGCATGCTTGATGAAGATGAGTAGTAATCTCAATCTAATAATGAAAATCTACTCAGTCAATTCAATAGCAGCAAAATTACAGGTGATAATTAAAAACAAATTTCTCTGAGGAAATGAGCGATAAAATAAAGTAAAGCTATAAGTATAAAATATACATAGAGAACTAAACAATAATCAGAACTATATAAATTATATGAATAAGTAAGCATCTAGTATGAAAACAGGATTATTTCTTAATTATTAAAAACAGATTAAATAGAATTTTTACCTTAAGGGGTTTTGGGGTTTTGGGGTTTTGGGG